AAAAAGAAATATAGCTGCATGTCGATAAAGTTCAATCATTATACATGCTTTTTTTCGCCGCCCACGGTGATAATGTAGAACTGTTACATTATAAATATTGAATTCTAGTCAAGTTTGCTCATGAATGGATGAATCAACTTTGTACGCTCGTTTATACATAGTTGATCGAAGTGAGTACAGAGAAAAAAACAATGAGATTTCAGTTATTGGCTATGTGTGATTGCATACATAAAATTTAAAAACACTCTGATTTTGAAGACTTTTATCGAACTGATAAAAACTATCTTCGTATGTATCTCTTTATGTATTATTACACATTCGCTTTGAATAGAAATAAAATAAATCATAAATACTGTAAAAACTCTCGTCTTTCATAGATATACAAACTTTCATGCTGTTCAATAGCTGAAAAGCTTCATATTTTTATCAATTATCCCGACAATTGCCTTATGAACGTTAATAATTCAAGATTGTGGTGTTTATATTGAAAAAATTCTATGGCATCAAATCTAACATTTCCAAATTTAAAACAGACGTGCTGTAATCCTTTGTGAGCTTTTTGAGAATATCATATACATTTCTAATTATAACCAAAACATCGCAGCAATAAGAAATTATGTATTTTCGTAAGTTGAAATAAGAAAAAAAAATTTTGTACATTCAATTAAATTTCTTTAATTATTTTTGTAAAGTACACGTACACTATTAATCGTCCTCTTACCTAAAAACTAATTGAGTATTTAGTCGTATTGCAAGTCTTTGTTAATTTTTTTTATTGGCCTTTCTTTAGATTTTGTCCCTATTTGACTTTGTTTGGCTGAATGATGTTTCGATGGTATTCTTTGTCAGTATGATAGACGAATAGATATGAGAACCATGCTTCATCAATTGTATTAAAGCTAAAACAAAGGGTGGGCGTGAATGAATAAAGAAAAGACCCACACCCAATACTATCAGTTCTTCTCATTTCCAATCGTATCGTTCATAGTCATGTTGTTTTTAAACTAGTTATTTTGAAATTCATTATTCAACTTAGGAATCTAGTTTCTTTTTTTGATCAGATAATGTTCAAATCAAAAGAGAAATTCTTTTTCGCCAAATGCTAATCAGCGAAAAAGTGAAAACTAGTGTGTGGGTGTGTCCTTTCTTCATTCACCCACACCCCTTATTGTTTTTTTGCTGATGAAAGTAAACTTTTTTATATTGTACGAACATATACAATGAAACCTCTCTAAGATGAACACTGACGGGACTGTTCAAAACGTGTTCATTAAAGGAGGTGTTCATCTTAGAGAGGTGTCATGTTGAATGAAGTCTATACAATGTATATAGTACATGGTTAGTATATACGAATGATAAATATCCCATGTCCTCAAAATCGCTAAAAAATCGACGATTATATCGCGGGATATTAGGGCGATATATCGTGAGATCTTATCACGATATAATCGTTCAAATTGCCGATTTTTTTCAATTTTTAAGAAAAATTGAGACTAATTTACGGTTGTGTAATCAACTTAAATTTCGGCTACCATTTAAGTGGTTAGTAAAATAAATGAATTGGTCAGTAAAAAAATATGGAAATGGTCAGTATAAATATTGAATGGTCAGTACCAAAATGATCAGTATTTAATTCTAAAATGGTCAGTTTTTTAATGTAAGTGGCAGTAAAAAATTTCAATTTATAGCAGTAAAAAATAAGAATTTGGTCAGTAATAAATGCAAAATTTATCAGTAAAAAAAAATCTTTACCAGTAGAAATTAAGTTTAAATAAATCTTTTATTTAATTTTTAACAACTTCATCAACACCTCGAAATGCGTCATCATGATGCGTGTATTCAGCTTCCGTTTCATGCACGGTTACTCTATCACGATCTGCATGATATAATAGATAAATACTTAAAGCCCTACTGAAACCGTCTTGCCAATGTGCATCAGTTTCTTGCGCTTCTGGAGCAAGAAATTTATGTGCTATGGGCAAATCCTGTAGCCTACACAGGTCAAGAATACGAAAAAATCACCTCAGAAGGACATTGATGATCACGACTTTAACTTTTTTGCATCTCTAATATACTTTTCTCCCATCTTCTGTATAGTGCGTATAGTGTTTTGACCATTGATTTTCAATTGGTGCTACTGCTTCACCAGCATTATCAAATGAACCTTTTTTTAACTCAACATTTCGATTTCTTTTTTTCAAGGGTTCCTTTATTTCCATTTATTCCATCATCTTCCACAACCTCTTCATCTGATATATCACTTTCATATTGAGGAACTTGAATCACTTGCATAGTTAAAAATATGTCAAATTTTTAACTGTTAAATATGTTATCTTTATTTGAAAAATACTAAACATTTATATATGAAGATGGATAAAGACAACGACCAGGCAAGAAATCGAGAATCTTTTTTTCTGTTTTTTTGTTAGACAATGAACAACAAGAAGAACTAAAACGATGATTCTTCTTATTCATAAAATAGAGGTTAAAAGAAAGAACAAGGACAGAAGAACGAGAACATATGTAGAACAGCTGAGAAGAAAAAGAAAGAAGAACAAATTTGATTCACTCTACTGCTATTTCAATTTTTATACTGACCATTTAGAAAAATCGACTGTCAAAAAAAGATTTTTACTGACCTTTAACTTTATTTACAAACCTCATTAATTTTTAACTGACCATTTAAGTAATTTACTGACCAATCATTTATTTTACTGATCAATCATTTATTTTACTGACCAATCAATAATTTTACTGATTTTATAGTTATTTAACTTACTGACCGTTTCATTTATTTTACTGACAATAAATTATATCCCCATTCATTTTTTGCTTACTTGGGTATATATCTATGTTCTAATGTGTTTTATTTTTTGATATAGCCTCATACACTCGACTTATTCACAATGGAAATGCTCCAACAATTGAATTTCTGAGAAACTTAGATCTTTTAAAACAAACATGGTTAACCATGTCTGATTCATCGCTTCGATCTGATCCGAAAATATTTGATCAAAACATTAATGTTAGCATGCGATACGCAATTCCTTCAAGAATCTCGTATGGAAATAAAAGCATTATTCGACTTCACAAAAAGGTTAAATTAGATTCATTGGCTCCAATTGTTAAAAAATTCGTGGTTGACAGCACGAATCAAAGATCCTACAATCTATTTAAAACAATATTTTTTGAACGACAACGTTTTGCATCTGATCATACTAACATGTTTCGTAGAACACATGATGGATGTTTAATGTACAAGAAAAATAATTTACCAGCAATCGGCTTCTTAGAAACAATTATTTCTTTCACTAATGATGATGAGCCAGTTCTAGTTATTCGACCAGTCAATTTGATTTCAACAGCAGACTCTATGTTAATAAATGATCGAATATATAAATGTAGTAATGTATTGTATGGAACGCATCATGGAACAATAGTCGAAGCTACTAATTTAAATTGTATCATTCAAAAACTAGCTTTTCGACCTGGGACTGATGTTAAATTTCCATCTGCACATAACTCTATGTTTATTTTTCAATATCCGAATCGAAGTGGAAGCACTTGATATCAATACATTCATAGTCGTGCTTTACTTCAAATATATTTATCTTACAACAGAATTCTGCACGAATAAATCATAAGCAGTGATTATATTCGAATATTTTTTCCCAACGCATTTAAACGGATAACTATATCTGTTAAAACGCATTGAGTTTCTTAATCAATCGAATACATGCGTTATAATGTGTTTATTTCTTGAATTTGTGCAGTAAACGGGTTTTATAGCGTTGATTTTTATAAATTTAGTCATTCAACGCGTCAAAACAGCGTTTTTGCGTTAAAGGATTTAACATCACGTTTCAACGGGTTTATTTCTTGAATTTGTGCAGTAAACGGGTTTTATAGCGGTGATTTTATCAATTTTACCGTTCAACGCGTCGAAACAGCGTTTTGCCGTTTTTGTGTCTGCCTGGGCAGGTTCAGTGTCGGAAATATGTCGCCACAGAATGTGTCGCTAATAAATTTGTCTCGTTCTGTGTGACGACTATCGATTCACCCTTTTCTTTTGCGTACAAGACTCTATATAAAGAACTGGATTGAACATACGAAGATTATGTATTTTGATTTAAATAGTTTTAGATTACTTCTCGATTATTAATTAGTCGAGAGCTTGCCTATCTAGATCATTGACCGAGGTAGGACTACCCTAAAATGGTCTGGCACAAAACCAGACCGACTCGAGACTGAACAGATCCTAAGATCTGACCTGCTTGAGTTTTCAGGAACGGTACTGTTCAATAAAACATAATCCAAAAAAGTATCAAGATTTTTTGACAAAAATATAAAAAATGTACTGGCTAGTGGATTCAACCGCATTTTCAGAATGTGTCGAATGTGTCGTACAAAATGTGCTGTGGCATCGCTGCAGATAATATATCGCAACGAGCACCTCGTGTCGCACTTGAATGTGTCGCACACCGAGTCGCAAATCACGACACATGCGACACATTTAAACTTAGTGTGTTCTACCTTCACCCACACCCCACACCCACACCAACACCCCACACCCA